GCAGTGACACACACAGCTGAGCTGCCCTCCTTCCACTGGGACTGAACCTGAACTCGTTTCCACTGACAGAAAGGGTCCAGATGAGAGTTACAGGGCTAAAAAACACATGTGTTCTTTGCTACAGACTGGGAGCTTTGATTAAAAACTTGTGGTTCTGAAGGAGTTCCTGTAAATGTTTGAAGGATCAGAGCTTCAGCCTGTGACTGAAGCTTAGAGAGAAGCTTACAGCAGCTGAATGATCTTCTTCAGAGGTAACGATGCTGGAAAAGTGGATGAACAGAACCACCTCTGTGTCCTCTCAGGTTCCCTAACTCTGAATATTGACTGCAGGGCTCATGATCATGGTGTAACCTTCACAACAGCAGGGGGCGCTGCCGCCCGCAGGAACGAGACAGACATAAATAATGATCCTGTTTAAAACTACAGAGGGTCAAACTGAAGGCTTTACTTTGACTGAGGCTGTAAGTGAGTGAAGTCAAAGTTTATTTATAAAGCACATTTAAGAGACTAGTGCAGATCAAAGTGCTTCACAATAAAACCGCAGTGCAGATCAAAGAACAAGTTCTACTTAAAACTGCATTTACATGGTGTAGTGCAGGACGAATGAACGTCCAACTGAAGCATCGTTTTAAAGAGGAAACAACGTCTGCGAGAACAAAGTCACATTTTCACTTTTTTGTTTATTTAACATGTGACTTAAAATCTTATTATTATTTATTATGAACATTATTATGAACATTTTTGGCTAAGACTGATGTAAAAACTCTAAAAACAGTAATAACTAAGTAATAATAACTCCTATTATTATCAGCAGTAGCAGTGTGACAGATCCACTGGTGTACACAGCTTCAGTGTGTCATTGTGGATGGTGGAGGACTGTGGGCTCAGCCTGTTAGACTGAATGAAGTGTTTCTACTGTTTCTACTGTTTCTACTGTTCGTTGGCTGCACATCTGCAGATGTTCTGCTGTCGCCGGGCTCTTGCTCAGAGCCAGCAGCCCTGCACGGCCTCGCTTTGTGGACAGTTTGTCTTATTGTGCGTGATGAGGAACACGCAGGTCTTTAGAAATGGTTCGTGCAGCACCATAAATCTTCTTCTGAGGTGTGAAAGTTGTGATCAGTGCAGCTTCACACCAGCCGAACCTTCCTGACGAGAGCAGACTGGAGCTAACCCACGGGCCCCTCCTCACACGGGACTCTGCAGGGCTTAAAACGGGGCGTCATCTCCAGAGACAGCTTGTGTTCAGAGCCTGTGCTGAGAACACGCTGGAACATCAGTAAAGTGAACGAGCAGCACTGACCTGAGACGCTCCTCAGTCAGCAGGCTGCGAGTGTGAACGTTCGACGGAGGCTCGCAGACACACACGGCTGATCTTCAGCTCATTAACATGACAAAGTGCAGCTTTTCTCTGAGTGTGAGCTCGGCGTTTAGCCCGAGGACACATGCTTTCACACGCTGTACAGAGTACATTTAATCCTCCTCCTCAGGTCGGCGTGTTTTCTCTAAGCCATCTGGGCTCATTAGTTTACCCTCCCCGCTCCTCCTCCATTCCCAGCCTCCTCGCCGCTTCCTGTGTTTCCCTTCCTCCTCCTATTCCTCCTTCCCTTCCTCCCTTAGTGATTTGAAGTTAAACTCTTTTTGAAGAGAAACTAACAGAGTGATGCTGTGCCCTTTGACCCTGCGTAAGCATTCATTCATCATATAATTATTTCATCCTTCACACATGAACATGTACCGAAACAAGCAAAGGTAACGCTGGGGTGACCACAGAGTGCCACTCCTGAAACTGAGGCTACACAGACTCACAAAACTGGACAAGAGAAGGCGGAAAAAGCTCTCAGCTTAGTGTGGATCCATCCTGCCAGGATCAGTGTCCACGCTGCTGCTGGTGTGATGCTGTGGGAAGATTTTCTGAGCACACTTTGGGCTTCATCATCGTTGAACTCCACAGCTTACCTCCGTGTTACTGCTGCAGGGTAACACTGAGGCAGTTCACTCCACAGTCACAGGTCTCAGTCCAACAGCAGCTGAACGGGAGATTCTCATCATGGATGCTGTGTGATGATGTCATCCTGTCAACATGGAGCAAAAGCGCCGAGAAATGTTTCCAGCACCAGTACCAGGAAAGCGTACCTAATAAAGTGTCTGTGAGTGTATACAGATATTCATGGTGGCCAGAAGTGAAAACACAAACCCTGAATGACTGAAGGAGTCGCGGGAGGCGCACTTTGATTACATCACTGATGTGGACGGGTCACACCTGTAGATAAAAGATGGAGTTTTACAGCCTCAGCGTTTCGTCTGCAGGAGAGAAAAGAAGCTGGAGTATCAGTTAATGCTAGCTCGGTTATCTGCACAGATACACAGAACATAATCAGTGCTCAGAACGTCCAATCAGAATCCTCAAATGTACTCTAGGATTTTCTGTTATTGACCACAGACAAGGTCGTAGGACATGCCCCTAATCATGAATGTAGAGTTTATGGATCATATGACCGTCTGTGAGAGCTGACTAACCTCACAGCCTGTGACTCTGTGTTATTCTGATATTCAGTTACAGATGTGCGGCAGGACGGCTCAGTTGGCTGCAGATGTTTTAATTATTTGATCAAACTGGGTTTAACTTTGGTTCCCAGTAACCTGCTGACGGTTTAGCTGCAGTCAGATCAGTCAAAGCTTTCTGGTAAACAGTTCTTATAAAATGAATGCTTGAATGCTTAATGTGACAGCCTCCTGCTTTTACCTCGCCGCCCTCCCTCGTCCATTATTTTCCACTGAAAGCTCTCAGTCGATTAACCTGATTGCACCTGCAAACAGAGGCCGCGGCAAAAAGGAAAAAACTCGTCATCTTTAATCATGTTTGAACCGCCCGAGAGCAGCGAGCAGCCAAACAAGCGAGGCAGCTGGGATTCAAGGAAAAAGGGGGAGGGGCCTTCGTTACAGCACATATGTGTAGATATACATCAGCGGTGAGGGGACCAGGACACACCTGTGCAGGTGGTGTATATACATGTATATATTTCAGAGCTGTGGAGGCGTCTGCAGTCAGCGAGGGTGTAGTTCCAGGAGTTCTGGTGTAGCAGTAACATGTTCAGTAGTTTCCCTGCAGATCCACACACCCTTGTGTTGTTTTTGTGTGTTGTGTGATTTCTTTTGTGAGTTTATTCTTTCCCCTCTATTTAATCCACCCTGAGAGTGAGCCAGTACAGGCCCATGGGTGGGGTGCTGCCCCGGGCTGGACTCTGTTGTTGTTTGGGTCCCTGGGCTGTGCATGGACCTGTTGCTGTGACCGGATGTTGTGTTGCTCATCAATACCTGATGAACATGAAATAAAGATCTGTTTCTTCACCTTCACTGAACATGGACTCTGTTATTTGCAAGCACCCCGTCGTGGGTCTTATTACGTCCACATGCAGACTCAGTTTCTTTACAGCAGAAAGCTGTCAAACTCATATTTGAGAAACTTTCCTCCACAATGTTTTCTTACAGGCTAACATATCACAGATTTCACGAGCAGATCAAATATTATTGGAAGAAGCTCTTTAGTTACACACCATCATATGCATCAAGAAAGGTTATCGTGGCAGCTCAAATCCTCTCTCTGCTGTTTGAAGGATGTGTCACTGTCTTTGAATGATGAACTGCTGTCAGCTAATGTAACAGCTTACAATAGAAGACTGCACGCAATCAGACACCCCACCAAAAGAAATTATCACAGTACTTGACTCACTACAGGATATTACTGTGTTTTGCCAATGCAGAAGTATTGCATGTGCTGCAGTTTATTACATGTTGTCAGCATGTCCAGCGCTGGGCTCGGCTAACGCCGTCTCAGGATGGCGCTGTATGAGATGAGCCTTCTTGCTTTTTATTTGTTTAAAAATAAAATATGGATATTTGGTGTCACCGTGTCAGTCATCCCAACACAAATAGAGCTGGTTCAGTAAAGGACTAGATCCCTGATAATGCATT